TAGGTATGTCATCATAATATTGTTGCCTACTTTACTCCATAATCTAATCAATTGGAGGACCCTACAAGAAGTTGGAGTAAAGTAGGCAACAATATTATGATGACATACCTAAAAACGTCACCTGCGGAGACGCGAAGACCACGTGTTACGGATACAGTCAGACGGTATCAAAAGGTTATCAGACGGAAAAAGCGGAGAAAACGAACACCTATACAACAAAGGAAGTTAAAATCCGAACGTCATCAATAGTTATCACCAGTTACATCAAGGCACAACACGATCTAATCGGATGGATGATCCTAGGGGAAAAACAGAAGTTAGAGACGAAATATTGCTGCCGATACAAGTAACGACGAAAATCATGTCTTATCGACGTCTTATTCTGGATCCGACTAAGATCGTCTGAGCAACGATTTGTAGGATCAAGCACAAATGGAAAGAAAAGACGGGACATAGGATAAAATTTTAATGCGTGGTACGCATAAGATAGGGGTGAGGGAGTTGTAAGAGGGCAAGTAAAATGGTGGAAACGCGATTCGGGTCACGTGATCGAAGATTGGCTCTAGAAGAGAAAAAATATGAAACCGGTGATATAAGAAGTGTTCTATTGTGTAATTAGTGTTAGAAACACTTAGAATTTCCTTACCTTTCATAATTTTTCCATAATATTCTATTATTTTCTATTTAAGTATATATAAAAATGATAACATTTAATAGGAAAGATAGAAATAGAGAAGAGTTGTAATTACAAATTAATTAAATAAAATACCTGCCTTGGCCAAATCATACACCTCAGCCTTTATTGAATCTTGACCGGCAGTTACGTGGATTCTGCCACTTGATAGCTATCGACTTACCAATTTATTGCTTACAATGTACAGTTTTTTTTAAATTTTTAAATAGTATTTTTATTGAATAAATCAATTTTTTATAATTCAATTAAAAAATTGAAATTAATTATTATATTAAAAAAAAAAATCAATCAATTTTTATTATAAATATTAAATAATTTGAATATTTGAATGTTATTTTATTAAAAGATTTTATATTATAAAATATTTTAGAATTTATAAAAAATTATAAAAAATTATAATTATAAAAATTATTTATTTATTTTTATTTTATTGAAATTATTCTTTTTAAAACTTTTTTTTAATTTAAAATAGTTAATTTTTTTTTTTTTAAAAATCCACAATCAAGTTGATATTATTTATTTATTAAATTATAGAATCATTATAAGTATGAAAATATAAGTAAAGTATAAATCTTCTCAATTCAGTTTATTCATTAACAGTTGAAGCCTCTAAATATAATTTATAGAAATAATATATTGTTTTTTTAATGAATAGAATTAATATTCAAAGTTTTCAATATAATTAAAACCTGCAGATCACCTCTATAATCATAATTATAAATTCAAATTATATTAACCTTTTCTTGTAAAAACTATATAAGAAAAAATAAAAAAAAAATTTTTAAATAAGAAAAAAATAGTACAAATATATATAAAAAAAAAGAGACTAAAAAAAGCTATTATCTATTCTTTTTTTTTTTTTTTTTTAATAAATAGGTATTTGGCTATTATCTATTCTAACTATTATTGAAAAGATTATTCTATAAACAAAAACTTCAAGCCTTTTATAATTGCTGTTATATTTACTTCTTATTACTTGTAATTAGTCAGACTATTTAATTTTCATTGAAACAATAACATTTAAAAATATTAAGAATACTTTCAAAAAAGTATTTCTTAAAACTTTATATTTGAAGACTTTTAATTAAAAAAATATTAATTTTCTATTGTTTATTTCTTTTTCAAGCTATATTTTCTAAAATTATTATATTACTTAACCAATAAATAGTTTCAAGTAAGGTTTCAAAAAGTATTGAACTGGTATCAAGTGATATTAAAATAGTACCGATCTATAGTAAATTTAATATATGAATTGTAATCCACTTATATAAATTTATAGTAAATTTAAA